ATTTTATGTTCTGGAACTTTTTTCGTATCTTCATCTATACCAATATTTTAAAGAGGTAAATTTTTGTAAATTTGAATATTTGTATTTCTGGAACTACACAACCGATTCAGAAAATTCTTTCATTAATAGAAAGTTACACCATCCCCGAGTGATATAGGCTGTTGTAATAGGATTACTATTGGAATCTTTATACGGGAAGCAACTAGTAGTTATAGTTTTTGAGTAATAACACTTTAAAAAATGTTTGTAGAAATATTTAGGATTTGACGTAATTTATTTTAATTTCGATATTATGCGGTACATTCTCGACACGAGAAAAAATAGCACACATAAAATTAATGCCAATCAAAAAGATAATAACATTATTAATATCAAGACGCATACCTACGAACAATCACCGCTGAAGTTAGTCAGCAGTCTCATCACCCTAAAATGTCACTAGTTTTGCTAAGAAACACACGTGTAAACAATGGGGAACTTATCATAAACACAAACAAAAGATCAAGGTTGTTAAGAAATATGCTTATCTTTGACAATTGTGGTCAAGTTAGAATAATAGCAGGTAGTAATTAGGTCAGTTTGTCCCATTCGAGTAAACTTCTCTCAAAACGTGATTACATTTCGTAAGAAACGCACTACTTATTTTCAAATAATACCCTTTTCTTGGAAGTTTTAAAAAATGGTTGGTGAATTGGTGACTAACCTAGATTTGTTTGTAAAACTAAAAAAAGTGGCAATATTAAAAATGCTGCGGCATTATTTGATATTATAAAATCTAGTTTAAACAAAAATTTAAGCGAAGACAATATCAAAAAGTTGAAAGCGTTTTGTGCAACATATTGTTCTAATCTTCACAGAAATTGGCTCAGTGCTAATAGAAGAGAAGAATATTTTATAAAGAAATATAGTAAATGGTTGGATGCAGATGTATTATGGCCCGATTATGTTAGGAGTGCTTCAGAACAAAGCAACGAACCATCTACGACCACGCCTATTACATCAGCACAATTTGCAACATCATCAAAAATAAGCGTTGGAACCTATACTGAGTTGAGTCCAAGAAAACCTTTCTGTGATTTAGGGCCTAAATAAAAAAAGAGTCGCGCTGAGAATATTGATAACACAATATCTTATGATGAGATATCGTACGTACATTCCATGAAATGAAAAGCTGATGGTCATG